TAACTGATGATGACATGTAAATTGTTGAAACATTGTGTACATAGGGAGTAGTATTCTATATAAACTGATGATGACAATGTAAATTGTTGAAACATTGTGAACAATAAAACTCAGGAGTAGTATACTATATAAACTGATGATGACAATGTAAATTGTTGAAACATTGTGTACAATAGGGAGTAGTATACCATATAAACTGATGATGACAATGTAAATTGTTGAAACATTGTATACAATAGGGAGTAGTATACTATATAAACTGATGATGACAATGTAAATTGTTGAAACATTGTGAACAATAAAACTCAGGAGTAGTATACTATATAAACTGATGATGACAATGTTAATTGTTGAAACGTTGTATACAATAGGGAGTAGTATACTATATAAACTGATGATGACAATGTAAATTGTTGAAACGTTGTATACAATAGGGAGTAGTATACTATATAAACTGATGATGACAATGTAAATTGTTGAAACATTGTGAACAATAAAACTCAGGAGTAGTATACTATATAAACTGATGATGACAATGTAAATTGTTGAAACATTGTGTACAATAGGGAGTAGTATTCTATATAAACTGATGATGACATGTAAATTGTTGAAACATTGTGTACAATAGAGAGTAGTATTCTTTATAAACTGATGATGACAATGTAAATTGTTGAAACGTTGTACAATAAAACTCAGGAGTAATATACCATAAAATAGTTTTGGTTTTTTAATATATTTTGAATTTTTTATTTCAGTTTGTACTCCTGACCAACCGAATTCTCCCCTTCTTTCTTCAGAGTCGAACCCAGGGCGCCATGTTACTGAGGTGACCTTGAAGAAAGAAGATTTAGATCATGGTATAGGAATGACAATCGTAGGGGGCGAGAGTACGGGTAAGTTGGATCTTGGGATATTTGTGAAATCAGTAGTACCTAACGGACCTGCTGATAGAAGTGGTCAAATATTCCCAGGTGATAGAATTCTCGCTATAAACAGTCAAAGCTTGGAGGGTGTACAACATCAAGGTGCTGTGAAAATTATTCGCGATTCCAAATCAGATGTTACATTGTTATTATCCCAAGTTCGAGCCCCCCGTACTCTCCGTAGAAAACATTTTAATAAAGAACTCAGCGATGAACTTGAAGAAATCGCTAAAAGTTGTGATGATATTTATTTACAAAGTGTCAACGAACAACTTTCTAGTCCGAGGCTGAATTCACAACTCAGTCGTTCATTGGACGATATTGATGGACGTGCTCGACCACCCAAAAAACCTGTTCGAACACGCAAAACTCAAGAAATTGAAGAAGTGGGTGAAATATTACGTCAATTATCACAATCCAATAAAAACACAGTATTAGATCATGTGATAATTGAACCAACCAATCAGGAGGCAATAAATTCTGTGAGAAAATCTCCGTTTGAAACTGAAGAGATTATTACTGGTAATTTGGTAAATCACCAATCGTCCAGACGTTCAGCTTCTGTTGATATTTATAATGAAGATGTAAGACCTGATAACAGTGACCATATAGAAGATGAGGTCAATATGTCACAAGAATTAGAGTTAGTTGGAGGTTAGTGTCTTTTTGTCTGAAAACTATCAAACAAAGAAAATAACATAAAGAAAATGACATTTGTAATGTTTGAATTGTCAATGTGAAATTTTCCACTGCTATACCATTGAAGATAGTTATAGATTGAAGATAGTAATAGATTGAAGATAGTAATAGATTGAAGATAGTTATAGATTGAAGATAGTTATAGATTGAAGATAGTTATAGATTGAAGATAGTTATAGATTGAAGATAGTTATAGATTGAAGATAGTTATAGATTGAAGATAGTTATAGATTGAAGATAGTTATAGATTGAAGATAGTTATAGATTAAGAGATAGTTATAGATTGAAGATAGTTATAGATTGAAGATAGTTATAGATTGAAGATAGTTACTCTGCCTCTGTGAATATATTATACAGATTATCTTCTGTCTATTATAGAAATAGCTGCCATGCCAATAGCTGATTCTTCATCTGATTCTGATTTTGATTCTGCTATACATGATGTTATAGAGGGGACACCCAGAAAATCTAAAAATAAACATCAGAACCATAGTCAGCAGAATGGGTGAGTTTTACAAATTTTACAGGCAGATGATTATTCTGTGAAGCTAACTTGAAATGATGTGAAGAATCAGGATACAGTATTTTAACTATTTCTACTGATATTTAAAAATAATCAATGTGTAGGTAAAGATGAATTGTAATGATTATGATTGTGTATTTCAGTGAGATGAGTGAACCAAGTTTTAACGAGGTCCAGAAATCTCCTCAGCATTCTATAGATGATTTTTATTCTTATTTTACTACAGGTAAGTTATTTATACCTCACATTCTGTTTAGATCTAGAATTTAATCAATTGAGACAAACTTCAGAAGTTTAATGATCAAAATGAACAGCAAGTTACCATAAAAAACAAACTTAATTCACCAAGATGTTCATTTTAAAATAAATCCTTTGATTAAAGTTAAACTAGTGAAATGTACAAACTAGATATTATAAGTGTGAAAAGTTAGACTGATGATTTTTCTGCTGTTTTAAAATTCTGTGTTGTATTTTAGACAGTTTGTATGAAATAGTATTAAGAAAAGGAACGAATGGTTTAGGGTTCAGTATACAAGGTGGAGTGGACGTCCAGCCATCAGACCCTACTCACTGTATACCACGAGTTAAAAAAGTCTTTATGTTGGGCCCAGCAGCCGAGTCTGGTATAATACAAGCTGGAGACGTCGTACTTCAAGTTGATTATCAACCTCTACAAGGACTCACTAGAAACGTAAGATTTTATGATATTTGGTAAACGTCTGACTGTTCTGTTGGACTAATAAAGACAGGTAAAGCTATGCAGTGGGTCATTAGGGAAATTTTGGCTTATGATGAAAAACAAAACCTTACAGTGCATAATGGATTTTGTTAGGACATGTGCATATGTCATCACAAGTTTTTAACTTCACAAGTTTTTCACCAAGTTTTTCACCAAGTAATGTTACAAAATATACATAAATTACTCTGATTAATAAAAGTAGATTTGATTTGTCTTTCTTCTATATCAACACTGTTCTAATGGTATTAGTTGTAATATTAGGAATTAATTTATTATTGTTATTATAGGAGATTATAGAAGTGATGCACACGACGGGTAGAGATGTTAGATTGTTGATATGTAGACCAGATTCTAGTATATTACCTCCAATAGAGAGAGCAGTAAGTTTAAATAATAATAACATTCAAATATTATATACTGTATAACGTGAAGAAATCTTCAATTTATAAGTTCTGATGTTATTTATAACAATAATGTATTATTTCCCAGAGTTTGTATCTTAGTTTTAACACTGATGTATTATTTCCCAGAGTTTGTATCTTACTTTTAACACTGATGTATTATTTCCCAGAGTTTGTATCTTAGTTTTAACACTGATGTATTATTTCCCAGAGTTTGTATCTTAGTTTTAACACTGATGTATTATTTCCCAGAGTTTGTATCTTAGTTTTAACACTGATGTATTATTTCCCAGAGTTTGTATCTTAGTTTTAACACTGATGTATTATTTCCCAGAGTTTGTATTTTTGATGATAAACTACAATAAGGTTCTGTTGAAGAAAAACATTCAGTTAAGTTCCCTTAATCAAAGTTTGATTGTGATTTCTTTTACAGAATAGCATAGATTCTCTGGAAGCCCTCCTCCATTCCCATCAGGTCAAATTAACAGCGGCAACTCTTCAAGAATTCCAGGATTCACCTTCAGAATCTGAAACTTCAGCTGTTCTATCTGGACGTAGTTCACCGTTGATTCCTGTCGTCAATCGAATCCCCAACAACCAGAATAATCTAGCAACCTCGCCAGAAGTTAACAGACCAATAACACCTGTTTTACGAAGATGTTGGACAGAGCAAAAAATGGCATCGCCACCTGCTGACGTACAGTCACGTGACACATCAGGTGTATTAATACGCTCACAAAGTGAACAGGCTGCTCTAGCCTCTTCACCACCAAAATCTCCACCAGCAAATTATTTTGCTGAAGAAAATAAATCTGGACATATTTCATCATCTATGATGTCTCCTTATGGAAATTTTGAAAATTTGGCTGCGTTGTGTTCCTCAGATGATGCTGCACCTCACGATTCTTCGGAAGCAGGAAGTGCTTGGTCGGATATTGAAAATATCACGAAAGACAGTTCACCGCTAGCACATACCTCACTCAATGATTCTAATTATAGTAACATATATACATCACCAAAATTAGAACCGAGAAACAGCACGCTTCTTGAGGATATTATTCTAGAACAAGTTGAACCAGACATACCCACGGAAACTGAAAGTGAGGCTCTTAATCGAGAAATCAAAAGTTTGCAACTCCGTGAAGAATATTTTGCTCAGCCTGCATCAATCTCCAGTGCTTCTTCAATTGAAAGACCTGAAGATTTGGAGAATATTTCATTATGGAGTGTGTCTGCTGATAATGCTGGAGGTCCCCTAGAAACAGGGGAAGCTACTCCCCAGCCTCAGTTTAGATATAGTACAATATCGGTGGAGGAATACAATGTTGATTCGTCGCTTGGAGCTGACAAAACTTTAGAATCTAGTGAAAATGCTGTCAATGAATCCAGAGCAAAAAGCCTTGCGGAGGTGACAGAGAACCAAGTGAGTCCAAGAAATATATCTGAGCAGGGTGCAGCAGCAAAGAGTCCTGTACAAGAACAAACAGTTATACCAAGAAGAAGATCTACTGTGGATGCACCAATACTGAAAAGACAAGATTCTGTTGGTAGTGAACAATATCCAGAAAACAGACAAACTGATCATCTTGAGCGATATCCAAAAATAAATGGTGAAACTGATGTGAACCCTGGTGAAGATATTGTACCTGATGATAATATTCAAGATCAGTCTAAACTTGTTTCCAGTTCACAAAAACAACATCCTAGTGCTAAAAAACGAGTGAAAATTGGGCAAGTTCCAGAATTGAGTAAAAATTTGGAAAATAAAACTGTTGGTGTTGAATCAAGGTTTAATTCAGGGGTAAGATTATTATTATAGAATTTACAGTGGATTATTGGAGTTAACTCTAGCCTTAACTTCAATCTTAGAATTATACATCTACAAATTCATGTTTCTTGTGCCAGGTTCAACTAAACATCTTCTATTCTGGTTAACTTATTATTTTACTATCTAACGTGTCAATCAATCTGTAACATTTCCATTTATCTGGGTAGCTGCCAGTGTAGAGAGAGTATCACTATATCATGATAATTGTTGACATTGTGTTTATTATTAATTTTAGGTATTTGAAGTGACATTAAGAAAGAGAGAAGGAAGTGGTCTAGGGTTTGCTGTAGCTGGTAGTGGAATGTCTGTAAGAGGTTGTTATATTAAAGCTATACTCCAGGATCCTGCTCAGTCTGATGGTAGACTTCAACCAGGTGATCAATTACTAGAGGTATGTCAGGTGTTTTAGTCTGATAATTTGAAATATATATTTACCACAGGCCAAGTATGAATTCAGATTCAACAGTTCAGAATTGAGTCAGTTACTTGGGTCTGTTTTAATAGCTTATCCAAAATTTCACCATATGCAAAATAGGTTCTCAAACCAGATGACTCTCTTCCATCATAGTTTAGACAACATTTAAACAATTATTTTTACAAAACATACTGATCTCTTTTCTTTAAATCACAAGGTGGTGGAGGATGGGATCTAAGTAGGGGTCTTGAGATTGTAAAATGATAAGAAATTTGGAAGAAGCCAGGCCAATGCTGTGCTAGCCTCAGTACTTGTAGCAATATCACTAACTAGTTTAGGTTATATCCAGTGATGTAGTATTTTGTTTATATTTAATAGGTAAATGGAGAAGATATGAAAAATATGAATCATTTCGAGGCTGTTACATTATTAAGACAAACTCCCCAACTGGTTAGAATTAAAGTTTTTAGACCAGATAAATCTATAGTAGTTAATAATGGTGGTGTTAATAAACAGCTCAACTCCCAGGTAAATAGCCTATAAATATGTAAAAGTTATTTTAGTACTGTATTCAGTCAACACCTAGTAAAGTGTAGGTAACTCATATATTTATTAAACTATTGTGTACAAGTGAAAAAAGCCCATATTACTTTACTTTTTAGAAAAACTTCAAATCAACTGATCAGCATGTAAAAACTTTAAAACTAGAGAGTGAAGGAGAGAGGGTAGAAAAGAAAGGTAGTGAAGGAGAGAGGGTAGAAAAGAAAGGTAGTGAAGGAGAGAGGGTAGAAAAGAAAGGTAGTGAAGGAGAGAGGGTAGAAAAGAAAGGTAGTGAAGGAGAGAGGGTAGAAAAGAAAGGTAGTGTAAGAGATATGATTGAGAATCTAGAAAGTAGAAAATATTCACCTCGTAAAGATTCTGATACTGATAGTAGATCATCTTCAGGTTCTAATCACCAGGTGAGATTATAACATCTTTACATGGAAACCTTTCTATAGTATTTAAATAGTTATTGTATTGAAGAAATTTTAAAGATGTTTTCTCAATGTTAAATATATACCTTGATAACTTCAATTTTCAATCAGACATCTGTGGTTCTTTTAATTCCACTAAAACTAAATATTTGATGATCTCACTATTACAAAGAGATTTTATAAGTAGCTTAATAAAATATTAAAATAATTTGAATTATTTTTACAGTCAGGAATAATACGTATTAAGTTACAGAAAGAATCTATGGAAGGGTTTGGGTTTAGTTTAGTTTCAACAGAACAGGATAATGTTACTGGTGTTTTTATTAAAACTCTCAAATCTGGTGGCGTGGCTGATAGAGATGGTAGACTTCATGTTGGTGATAGAATTATACAGGTGAGCCTAATCAATATTGACAATATAGTGCTGTGTGCAATGAGGAAAATTATGCTAATTTATGCTTAAAAAGCAACATTAGCCTACTCTTTTTCTGTTTCTAAATGTGGAAGGATTTTTAAAATGTAACATGGTAGCACACAGTTCCTCTGGTAATTATTTCTTCCAAACAATAAGATAATTTAGACTCGGTCACTAACACTAAGATTAAACCTCAGATAGTCGTGATCTTTGAATGGTATTTAGTAAAGGTGTTAGATATAATGAAATAATTCTTATGAATTACAATTACTAATGTTATAGTCAGATAGTCTGGCTGGCAAACAATAAATTATTGTGTCATGTTGTTTACCAGAATAATATTTATAATATTGTATGTTATTGGATTGTGATTTTAGATGATAAATTGGTTTATTTCAGGTGAATGGAGAATCAGTTTTGGGATTTAATCACAGTAAAGTTATAAATATGTTACGTCAAATACCTACACAGGTTACTCTTACTATCTCTAGGTAGGTTGATTACCTTACACCCTCTAGGTTGACTCACTGCTATCTTTATTATAAACTTTTACACCCTCTAGGTTGGCTCACTGCTATCTTTATTATAACCTTTTACACCATCTAGGTTGGCTCACTGCTATCTTTATTATATACTTTTACACCCTTTAGGTCGGCTGGTGTATTTATAATACTCCCTTACACCCTCTAGGTTGTTAACTTTACTCCCTCTAGATTGGCTGATGTCTTTACTATAACCCTTAACACCCTATAGGTTGACTTAACAGGCTTATACTACAACCCTTTACATCCTCTAGGATTATTGAAATTCACAATATAACTCTTAAAAATCTTGACTTATTCTTGTCTTTAACTTCATGTGATCTTAGTAAATATTGACAGGAGATTTTATTTTACTAAGATGATAATTCTAATTTTAATTTGTAAAAATATTATTTTATTTCAGATCATCAACCAAACTATTAAATCTTATACAAGATGATACTAAACACCAAACTCGGAATAAAATACAACCAATGAGCAGTCAGGATTCACTAACTAATTTAATTGATATAGCCAATGAAACAGATGAAGATATCAACTCGCTAGCCGGGGATGCCGAGAATTTTCTCAAATTAAACGCGACAATGAATGATTCCAATATTTCTCTGTTAACTCCAAGAGACGATACCACAGACCAAAAAACTCCCCGATACGAATCTCCTAGAAAAATACCTCTCAGTATACCTGATAAACTTACAGATGATTGGCTAGAATCGCTACCTCTTCTGTCAATCAGAGAGGATGGGGAGGAGTTTGTTGGAGAAGTCCTTCATTCATTGGTGGAGAAGGTGGAGCAGGAGGAGCCATATGAGGAATTCAGAGTGAGTTTTTCTTCTTTTCTTTTTTCTGTGCAAAGTTTGAGCAACAACGTCTAAACAAATACCCAACTTTGATACTATTTGATATAGCTAAGATACTATTTGATATAGCCAAGATACTATTTGATATAGCTAAGATACTATTTGATATAGCCAAGATACTATTTGATATAGCCAAGATACTCTTTGATATAGCCAAGATACTATTTGATATAGCCAAGATACTCTTTGATATAGCTAAGATACTATTTGATATAGCCAAGATACTATTTGATATAGCCAAGATACTATTTGATATAGCTAAGATACTATTTGATATAGCCAAGATGCTATTTGATATAGCTAAGATACTATTTGATATAGCTAAGATACTATTTGATATAGCTAAGATACTATTTGATATAGCTAAGATACTATTTGATATAGCTAAGATACTATTTGATATAGCCAAGATACTATTTGATATAGCTAAGATACTATTTGATATAGCTAAGATACTATTTGATATAGCCAAGATACTATTTGATATAGCCAAGATACTATTTGATATAGCTAAGATACTATTTGATATAGCTAAGATACTATTTGATATAGCTAAGATACTATTTGATATAGCCAAGATACTATTTGATATAGCCAAGATACTATTTGATATAGCTAAGATACTATTTGATATAGCCAAGATACTATTTGATATAGCTAAGATACTATTTGATATAGCCAAGATACTATTTGATATAGCCAAGATACTATTTGATATAGCTAAGATACTCTTTGATATAGCTAAGATACTATTTGATATAGCCAAGATACTATTTGATATAGCTAAGATACTATTTGATATAGCCAAGATACTATTTGATATAGCTAAGATACTATTTGATATAGCCAAGATACTATTTGATATAGCTAAGATACTATTTGATATAGCCAAGATACTATTTGATATAGCTAAGATACTATTTGATATAGCCAAGATACTATTTGATATAGCTAAGATACTATTTCTGACTTGATCTAGTAAATCATCTATAGATATAATATTTATATTTTAGAATCTGTGTCAACTGAAACCAACAGACGATTGTACAGCTTCTAATCTGACTGATAATAAAATAAAAAATAGATACAGAAACGTTCTTCCCTGTAAGTTAGATTTATAATTTATATATTAAGTTTCTCTACGTTAACTTATATTGCCTAATCCCATGTCATTCCAGTTGATATAGACAAATTCTGAAATTCAGGACTGTTTATACAGCTACCAAAATCTGAAACTATAACAGAAAGTCAGAAGTTCAATAAATAAGTAGATTTAAACACAAGTTTATAAAGTTCTTACTTCACCTTATCTAATGACTAGAGTATCTGTTAGTATGATGTATTTTATAAAGTGAAATTATTGTTTTATTTTTAATATTAGATGATGTGAACCGAGTTAAATTAAAGGGAAGTAAGAATGATTATATTAACGCTAGTTATATTAATATTGATATAGAAGATACCCAACTCAGGTATAAAACTTTTTTTATCTTGGTTTTATCTTGTTTGTTATTCCTATCAGATAGTTCTACAGAGTGAGTTTGCTAGAGGATGGAAAAATTTATAGAAATATTCTTCCTTGTCTCTTCATTAGATGAATAACTTGTTAAGATATGAGTGACATGAATATTAATGATTGTCATGAATGTTAATGAGTGATATGAATATTAATGAGTGATATGAATATTAATGAGTGATATGAATATTAATAAGTGATATGAATATTAATGAGTGATATGTATATTAATGAGTGATATGAATATTAATAAGACATGTATATTACAAAGCTTCACTGAACCATGTTGTATTGTAGTTAATTAGTTATTAAATATTAATGAATTAAGATATATATAAATATTGTTGGAAGTCTGTATTTATAACAGTTGTATATCTAAATCTATTTATATATCAGGTATATAGCCTGTCAAGGTCCCCTACCTAATACAGTAGATGATTTCTGGTTAATGTGTTGGCAGGAGGAGGTATCAGTGGTTGCCATGTTGACACTAGACGTAGAATCACGAAGAGTTAAATGTCATCGATATTGGCCTGATTCTCCAATAGAAACTCTAGATATTTGTGATGGGTGGGTGTTTTATATTTATTAAATTGTTTATCTATCGTCAATATTGTCTCATATATTTTAAAATTAATGATAAATGACTGGAGTAATATCTTTATACTGATTTATAATATTTTTATTTTAAACTGAAGTCAGTGATGTTTTCTTCATATGAATCTGAGGTAGAAAGGGAGTCCTCTAGTTTTAAATTGAATAATCTTCAATGGCCATTAAACTCATTAGATTCTATTGGAATTAGATCTTTCAAATTTCAATCTTCATCGATCTACAGCTTCAAGGTTGGATGTAAGATATTTTAGTTTAGTTTAATCACAATCAACAATTTTATTATGTTATTATTTCAGTGAATATGAGGTTAATCTAAAATCTAGTCAGAGTTTAAATGATATAGATATTAGATATATTAATATTACACATTGTCCTAGTGGCAAGATAAAACATATTATACATCTCAACTATACAACCTGGCCAGACCATGGTACACCACAATCAGCTATTCCAATCTTACAGGTAATATAATTATACCCCTCAACTTTCTATTGGACTCTTCCACACATGCATACTTTCTATCGATATCAAACTGTAAATGTACATTTGGAATAGTTCATTCCCTAAATAAGGGGTGATTTTTATTACCAGTCATATAATTCCCAGTCAAAATCTTAAATACGAAAATTCTCCTACAATTTATTTGTTTAAAAGTTATTTCAAGTCATTTTGCTGCCTGTTTTAGGTTTTGATGGACTACAGTGTATGAGAATAATTGAACTGAGATATTTCACTCTACATAAATTCAGACATTTTATTTTTTTCAGTCTAGAATTGTTGTATTAACATCAGTTAATAAATAAATATCTATCTTGGTATTTTGTAGCTGACATCAAACATGACATTTCTCAAATAAAATAAACTTTATGATATTTTTCAGTTCCTGAGACTATTACACCTCTTACATACTGGTGGTCCGATTGTTGTTCATTGTAGTGCTGGTATTGGTCGTTCAGGATCGCTGATGACTATTGATATAGCTCTGTTATATATGGAACATATGCTTCCGGTTGGTATTTTCAGTTGTTAAAATCTCATCTAACATACCTATCTCATCTTAAAATATTAAACCCCTTCATCATCATCGTATTGACTGTACAAAACAACCCACTTCATTTTATTTCATATTTTTTTTAACTAAGAATTTTATTAAAGTTTTCACGGAGATAAAAGCAAAGATTAAACTCTAAAGATTTGATATTTATTACTAATTATTGATTATTGATTACTAATTATTGATTATTTATTATTAATCATTGATTATTGATTATTGATTATTTATTACTAATTATTGATTATTTATTACTAATTATTGATTATTTATTACTTAATTATTGATTGGTTATTACTAATTATTGATTATTGATTGGTTATTACTGATTATTGATTATTGATTGGTTATTACTAATTATTGATTATTGATTGGTTATTACTAATTATTGATTATTGATTGGTTATTACTGATTTTTGATTATTGATTGGTTATTACTAATTATTGATTATTGATTATTTATTACTAATTATTGATTATTGATTATTTATTACTAATTATTGATTATGTATTACTAATTATTGATTATTTATTACTAATTATTGATTATTTATTACTAATTATTGATTATTGATTATTTATTACTAATTATTGATTATTTATTACTAATTATTGATTATGTATTACTAATTATTGATTATTGATTGGCTATTTTGTATGTTTTCAGTTTAATATTTTTGAAATTGTTAAATATCTTCGACAACAGAAATATGGTATGATTCAAACCAAGGTAAACTGTCATTTTATTCATGATATGATCTTCTTTGTCACATCTGGAAATTTCAAATATCTTTGTTTCTTTATTAGAATTAATATAATGTTTTTTTAGTCAGTATTTTGACCGTTCAACAGAATATGATTCGTTATCAAAGTCATATATTTGATCATGGACCAGAACTTTTCTACTCTGTTAAAATCTTTACCTGGACCATTACAGTATGTTTGTTTATAATTACTAATATATTTATATTACAGGATCAATATCTGTTTTGTTATACAGCCTGTATGCAGGTGCTGCTCAGTGTAGCAGGTTGATAGACATTTTACCCTGTCTGGTCTCTTTCTTGCTTTCAATGTTCCTCAAACAGCTGACTTCCTAACTGTTGGTGTGTTATGATGCTAGTAGATTCCAATAATCCTGAACAGTGATGGTGGATACCATTGTGAAATAAATATGATGAATTAAGTTCTCAAACTGACATCTACTATAAATCCAGGGATATGAGACTGATGTCTATTCAGAAGTTGAAGCTGTTAACATCCCAAACGTTTTCTCATTAAGACCCATGCAGAGATTAATACAGAGCATGGATTTGGAAAGAACATGATGGGGATTGTGGAAGGTTTTTTTTTGGCTCTTTTAGCTCAATGTACTCTCAAAGCAGTGGGTTATCTTGTCCTGCCCTATGCTTCATGCAAATTAGGTACCAAAAATATTCTTTTATTTTCATTGTGATTTTTGTGTGAAATAGTCATAGTGTGTGATATTATTATTATTATTATTATTAAGATTTGTCTCTTTATAAATACGGTGCCAAGGGTTTGAAACCTCCACCATGACTTTATGACAGCATAATAGTGCCTATAACTTATTTTTATTCAACTTGTAGAATTAATTTGTTTTCTTTGTTTATTCATGAACTTTAAATATTTATTGAATGAATGATATCTCAATAATTTCATCATGTTTATTTTTAGATTATACTCTTCATATTAAAGAGAGTAAAGAGGTTTTCTAACAGGGGACATTGATAGCATCAATTTTCAGGTCTGTGCTTCACTAAATAGATGTTTAATGACGTCACTATCACAAAAGGACATAGTGATGTCATAAAATACATAGTTTAAGTCGAATTGTAAGAACTACAGACGTCTGATTGAAAATTGGAATGGTGTAGTAAATAAATGCTAAACACATACAATTGTTTAGAAAACCTCTTAACAATCTCTTTAAAATCTCTTTACAATCTCTTTACAATCTCTTTACAATATCTTTACAATCTCTTTAAAATATTCAGTTTTGTCTTCCATCCCAGTTCTTCAACAAGAAATAAGTCATAATTATTAACACAATAAGGGTTTTTTGTGCCATATTTTATGTTTAAAAAGGTTATTTTGTATTAGATCAGCATAATAATATTTATTTTCAATATTTTACGGTATAATCTCAAGGACACGTTTAGTATTTTTATCTGCACAGTATTAGACTTAGATAACTTACACTTTTCTTGTATTTTGTTTGTTTTTGGGTTGTTTTTGGTATATTTGTGATAATTTATACTGTTAGTCATAATACTGAAGTCATGTATACTCCAAAGTTCACACATCTTAATTCGTCCAGTGTCTTCACCTGCCAGTAGTTTGTGTGTAGTTGCCAAAATCCAGATTTTAAATCTTACGTTCAAAAATATGTTGTATGGATAGCGAACTCGATATGAACATCCATTTGATTTCAGGATGAAAACGATTCTACTGAAGTTTACATTAATCAACTGTAGTCTACACAGCGCCGGGAATCTCCGCCGTTGTTGTGTACAGTGACTATAGGTGAAATATAATCTACTGTGGTAGATATCCGGCCTCATTCTACAGTTTACAGAATCTCTATTTATATTTTAGTCTCGATTGTTAAATTATAGTCAATGATGTCAGCATGATACATTCTACTCTAGTTTTATAAATTTCTATCTTTATTTACCTATAAATATACACTTCTCGTTAATATATATTGTTTTTATTTATCATTCTTGATGGTTGAATATCTACACCCAAATAGAATTATTCTATGCCCAGAACATATTCTTCATATTATTTTATTCCTCAGTATTGTGGCACAAACAGTGAAATAATTTAAATTGTTAATTATTAGTTTCTCTAAAATAGAAAACAGTCATAATCAAATAACGTTTGAATAAAAAGTTAACATCAATAACTATAAAACAAAGTATTTTTCAACTTTACACAGTTAAACTTTGTTATTTCAAGATATTCCACTTCTTATTTCATCACAGTAATAACTTTTTATACCGATTTTTTTCTCTCACATAGCCTGAATGTTTAGTTTATTTAACTGATATTGTGCTCGTATTAATCTACAAGCTTCTCCCGATACTGGTTTCATTCAGTTTTCAGGATGCATAAAGTTTAGTCCATTCTCTGGCTATCTTCTGATATAACTCGGGATTGGTTTGATAAATTCTGGCTATTTCTGGTTCGAGTGGATCGTCAGGATTGGGTACCGGTAACATAAACAATATACACATCAATACTGAAATTATAACATGACCTAATCTATATATTCCTGGAGGCTGAGAATTAACAATATACATATCAATACCGAAATTATAACATGACCTAATCTATATATTCTTGGAGGCTGAGAATTAACAATATACATATCAATACTGAAATTATAACATGACCTAATCTATATATTCTTGGAGGCTGAGAATTAACAATATACATATCAATACTGAAATTATAACATGACCTAATCTATATATTCTTGGAGGCTGAGAATTAACAATATACACATCAATACTGAAATTATAACATGACCTAATCTATATATTCCTGGAGGCTGAGAATTAACAATATACATATCAATACTGAAATTATAACATGACCTAATCTATATATTCCTAGGGGCTGAGAATTAACAATATACATATCAATACTGAAATTATAACATGACCTAATCTTTATATTCCTAGTGGCTGAGAATTAACAATATACATATCAATACTGAAATTATAACATGACCTAATCTATATATTCCTAGTGGCTGAGAATTAACAATATACAAATCAATACTGAAATTATAACATGACCTAATCTATATATTCCTGGAGGCTGAGAATTAACAATATACACATCAATACTGAAATTATAACATGACCTAATCTATATATTCCTGGAGGCTGAGAATGGAACCAGGACCGGCTGTGGTGCCTCGTTATCGTAATGTTGTCTTTGAACTTATTTAACCAAGATGCTATAAACGTTTAAAGAAATGACAATGTGCAGTAAGATTCAAAAAATTGAAATGAAATGACTTTCAAGCACCACGTCTTCTGCACCTGATGAAGACAGACAACACCATGCAGTGTGCAATGGGGGAAACTTTGTCAGGACAGAGTCATTAGTCTACTATTTTGATATTTCCAACTGTCGAGAGATATTTAACGTGTGCTGTCTGTAACACACGGGTCCTCGGTTTATTGAAGATATCCTATAACTGAGTGAAGATTAAATCATACTGACCTTTCTTTATAGTAAGAGAAGGTGCCCAGTGGCTACTTAAAACATCGATTGATATAACACCATCACGACTAATATTAGGATGGTATATCTTAGTTAGAAATTTTATCTAAAACATGACCATGGTAATATATAGAATACATACCGATATGTAACGTTCAATTATTTTGTACTATAAGAGCATATAAATAAAACACCTGCATTAAACATCGTTTAGCTTAGGTGGTATTATTACATACATTTACTCCACAAAAACTTGACCAGAATATTTCGGTACTCTGGCAAATAGAATTCATGACAAATGGTATATTTATAGTGAAGGCATTTCGTCAGGAATCACAAAAAGCAAAATGAAATCTGTATGTGTCTATTATTTATATAATAGCTAGAAGACATATCTTCCTTTGAAAGCCGTTTTAAATCAGAAGAAGATACAAACGAAATATTTTATCCAAATCAAGTTAAGAACAGTGGTATATAAAATTACTTACTTTCGGAGCTTTGAATGGATATTGATCTGATAGTTTAATTTCCAGACTAAAAACTCCCCCTTCATACACTGTACCTGGCTAAAAACAAAATTATTGTATTCAAAGGGGGAGAAGGGTATGTGGGTATGTTTTTTCGGGCGAAAAAAACTAGATTAGAAATTCGGGGAACCTCAGATATTTGTAAAATATGTAATATGTAAAATAAAATGAACAACTAAAAACATGACTAAATTTTAGAAAGGATCTCTGTGATGTATATAATTAAAGTTAACATACCTGACCCTCGATAGTACCTTGCATATTTAACCCTGTCAAAAATCAGAAAAAAACACATGATTTTAAAACAGTTATTCAACAAGATAATCCTGGTTTAAAAAGGCCTTATAAATAATTTGATAAATACCACAGGGATTAACGGCTAAGACTAACTTAATTAGCAAAGAAAGAGTCAAATAAGTCTTTTTTAATATATAGGATAACGGTGGAGATACTTACAGCCATCAGCGAAGGGTCCGTATGAAATACCTGGGTAAGGGTTCACCATCATTTCAGACCATTCCTGTTCAGTAAAAATATGATTTCAGTTGATTAAAAGAATTGTGAAGAGATTTTCTCAATTATTAATGTGTATATTGCGATTAGTGACGTCATCAAATACTTAGTTTTACTGGAATTGCAGGAACCATAGACGTCTGATTTAAAATTGGAATGATGCAAAGCAAGGCTATCAATGTCTCAGATACAAATAAAAAAAACCCCAAGAAAACCCCTTAAAAAGGTTTTTATTTATCGCTTTAAAACATCTCTCATCAATACATTACTTGAACATAAAGTAAAACTGTACTCGTCGCTGTAAATCATCGCTTTTATATTTTCATGATAAGAAATGAATTGATTGACTACCAAGGAAGTAGAAATCATTATAACTATGGATTATGAGCCGAGTAAAATCAAGTTGAAGACACAATCCTAGTAAATCAATGTTTTAATGATTGAGATTAGTCTCGTCCGGATGATGTCGAAAATAGAGACTAATTAACTTACAGATAATCACCTGTACAAAGTATCGAATGATAAAATGATTTAAAGTCTAGATTTTTTAAAAGTATCCCAAAATATTTCACATATACAATTCAATACAAACAGTGTCAATATCATTCACCTCATAGAGATTCCATAATTCTCATTAATCTATCCATCTGACTATTGTGATTTGAAACACTTCAGGTATCCATGGTTAACATCCTTACGGCCAGATTATCATGGCAAGGTTCTCAGGTGTCTGTCGAGTGTCTGTCGAGTGTCTGTCGCGGTGTCTTATATAAAAAACTACCCTCCTATAAAGTCAGAGGTAGGTTATCATGTCCATGATCTCGGCACTTACCTTATTGATACGTTTATAAAACCCGAAATTCATTTCTTCTCACAAACTGGCGTCTATCATTTAAAATCACACTTTGAAACAGTCTTTAGACTACAACTATTACCAATTATAATACAGATACAGATAGAGGAGATTTAAAAATATATTTATAGATTTATGTCTGGATCAACCGAATAAAACCCACATTAACACTATAACAATATAAGGAGTATAAATATGATCCAGTGTCACTACGATATGGTATATAATTACATTATAACTTCTGACACGGATAATCAAATAAATATCTTCTGTAGTAAATGATAATATTTGATGTTAACGCTATATTTAGATCTAAGACTGGATTATCTAGTTCTATATATACTTACTCGTCCTGTCAATAAAAATACACTGACTAATTGTTTATTATTAGTAACAAAGTCACTTGTCTTTATATTGATGTTTTAAAATGGATTTATCTCCCTTTATATACACTGACCACATGATTAACATTAAAGTTAATTGGAGTTTCAGTCTTCAATTCCCTAATAGGTTCAGATATTTTTAGGTTCAGATATTATTTTAGGATTTTTCCAGTCTAACTGGAATTTTTCATTCTGTTTACTCAATGTCAGTCTTACGGGTCATGGGGGAGGTGTAATAAACACCATGAGCTACAAAGTTGCACATAAGTGATCTCTAAACAACTGATAATAGAAAAAGAGGAGAGAGGAGACTAATGTCTCTCTCCTGGGGAAATGTTATTTACTACAAAATGCATGATCCACTCAGTTGGAGGTAATCACGTTTATTGGAGGTTGAGAATACCCCCCTCCTACCCAAAAAGAAAATCTTCATCTATTATGTGAGGCATGTCTGTATTTTCCAGTGTCCGAAAACGTGTTTATTTTACGTCTATGCTGTTTTCTAGACGGTGCATTACATCATTACCGAGAAATTCAATCTACGACTGGTTGAATAATGTCCGCTTCGGTGGGGAAAAAGGGGCGACTTTCTGCCATGTTTTTATCGCTTCTTCTTCTGAGTTTTGATACTTTGTTCTAATATATCTATTTATACGCGTTAAGCATCTAAGTGGTATAGGGGTGAAACTGGGTTCACTATTTGACCCGTCCCTATTGATATTATATATAAATGAATTTTCATACTTGAGTTACTACGAGAAGAGATAAAACGAACTCCACGCCTACCAGTTTCTTGTTTTCAAATTAAATTTTGTCAAGTCATGCGAGTTGCTGTTCAAGTCACATTCCCATGATACGTTTCGTACTATTTAACTAATTTAAGACATCCACATGAATACGAAGGTACAAGATCATAGAAATAAAGACGACAAAATCAGAAAGTCAGAAATAAAGACGACAAATCTAAAAAATGTGATCAAATAGTTTTCTCGGTCCCTTCTCATCGTGTAATTCTAAATGGCCTGTTATTGTTTTTATAAACAACACGAACCTTTGTATTATAATTATTGTTCTGTCTACACCAGACGATTATAAACAATCAATTGATTCACCTATTATTTAATAATTAACAGTGATTGTTTGTAGGAAGCTCGTTATTTCAATGTTCCATAATTAAAATCACAACAGCTAATGTTAAAGGGGTTCTAGAAGATATTTACAGTGCCAATGAAATGTTTGATTGAAATAGAATTGATTGAACGAAGAGATTCATTTTGAATAACGTTATTTACAAATTTGTTATATCTTTGGAAGGAAGATGTTAGCTGGACAGTGGAGTCAGAATGGTAGAATGTCAAACTTCTTACTATTATAAACACTGCAGGACTGATAAGATTCTATTTATACCTCCAAACACTGAGAGATCTTAAAAAACTCGAAAAAGTTATATTTCTGCCGAAGGCCCACTTCAATTGAATTGAAAGTAACAATTCGACCATAGCTTGAGTTTCATTATACTTTATTCAATGAGATTCACGAGAGATGACCCATATAGTCTACCACCGCCTGGATTTATCACCGGGGTATAATTTGATAATTTGACATTAGTCTAGTATTATAAACATCCGATATATTCCAATCGGTACAGCAGACTGAGCAGATATTCCTACCAGCCAGCCTTCAGCAGCCGAGTACCAGCTACTCATCATTCAAACGAAGGACATTAAAGAGTGAACATGGCACAGCAAACTTCACAGTAAGTATAAAATATCATATAAAATATCATAACAATAAATTGAAATATTTCTATATAGAATCATAAATATCTACATTGATTTAGGGCTGATATAGAAAGAGTGTCTAGTCGTTCGGATGGGACAAAAACCGAGGCCCCGTGTGCTACAGGCTGTACACAAGTTTAAGTTCTGAGACACCGGTGTGAATTTCAACTGGCAATCAATGTAAAATATATCTTGCTCCATTACCAGTACCTTTGCTAGACTCTTGGAGAGAGACAGAAAGGTGGCTTTTCGAGATCATCTCGTGCGTAGGTATTCTGACCATATAAAACTGAAATAGTCCCCGTCGAAGTCACAATCTGATTGCTATATGAAAACTATAATTCTTTCTGAACACAAGTTTGATGAAGTAGATTGAGAGAGATTGTCTGAAACTATAGTAGATTGATTTTACAGTTGAATCCTGAAATTAGTATTTTGCTAGCGCAGCTCTTGATACTATTTAAAAACAATCCTGGTTGTTACGACTGACAACAGACAGTAATATGTAGAGAAGTTGAGTTTAATTAAAGTTGAACAAAGTCACTTGAAAAATATCTGACAAATTTTCCTGGATTAAAGACAATACACCTAATGATAATAAGTCTTGAATCTTGACGAGATCTGAACCTTATCTTTGAAGTATATTTCTGACAATTATGATGCCAATATACAGCCAGCCATGTTATGTTGTTTCTATTTGTTTCTATATGTTTCTATATGTTTCTATATGTTTCTATATGTTTCTATATGTTTCTATTTGTTTCTATATGTTTCTATACGTCTCTATATGTTTCTATATGTTTCTATACGTTTCTATATGTTTCTATATGTTTCTATTTGTTTCTATATGTTTCTGGATGTTTCTATATGTTTCTGGATGTTTCTATATGTTTCTGGATGTTCACGACTATTTTGTACAGGTTTGGTTTACTATTTTTTTAATTACAGACATTCCCGTTTAATTGATGTTCATTGTTCTTTCTATTTTCTTGTTTATCAGAGAGCCGAAGATAGTTTTGTATCAGATTGGTCGGGGACCATTCGCTCCCAGTCTAACACCATTCGCTATCAAGTTAGAAACGTATTTGAAAATGGCCAAGCTACCTTACACAGTGAGTATAGAACAGAATTGCTCTCGATTTTCTCTTGCAGAGATTTTGTTGATACGAATATTTAGAAGAGTTTAGTGATATTGTTCATTTAGAATTTAGAACAAGTCAACTATCGGAAGCTAATTCTATATATCTTAAACTAATTGTCGTAATTAGGATTCTGTATCCTAAACACGTGTCATCTACTGTCAATCAAGTTATAAACCGTGCTGAGATGAGGATTAGGGTTATAGGGTTATTATGAAGAATAATGAATGATTCATGAAAAGAAGGCTAGGGTTCTTTACCTCTATTACTATTGTTATAGTAATTACAATGATAAATATTATTTTCTTTAATCTTGAAGTTTGATTCTAACATTGACTTGTATTGTTAGCCCAACTAAACAGTCGATGGTTAGAATATATTATGATGACTTATACTGAGTTCAGATATTTACAAATAAACAACCAGATCTACACCTTCTCGTTTTGAGATGAAAACGTAGACTGGCTTCGTTTCAGCTCAAATTATGTAAACCATGTAATAAAATAGTAAGACAAACTTACATTTCATAATTATAATCGAAATTATTTTACTATAACTTTAGAACTTTCATGGTAGAAAAGCCTCGAGTAAAGGAAAGTTTCCATGGATAGAATATAACGGTCAAGAAGTAGCCGATACCAGTTTTATTATTCAGTTTCTAAACGAGAAACATCATATAGATTTAAACAGTCATCTATCAGACAGTGATAGGGCTATAGCTAGAGCTTTTAGAAAGATGGCAGAAGAGAATTTATATTGGTAAGATTTACATAGTTGAATGAGATGCTATATAGCACATGATAGTTCATTGAAGTAGGGAATCACATTGAAGACTTTATGAAAATGACAGTAACCCGATTGTAGGTCAAGCTAAGTCATGTCTCTTCTCAATACTATTTAATTTTCGAAAATTGAAGAACTCAAACAGTAGATCATCCGATGCCCCATTTTTTCCATGGCCAGTCACTTTCTGATTATTTTTGTTTTATTCTAAAATATTGAATTTAAAATTGAAGAACTCAAACATCACACCTTATTGTTTGTTTAAGGTATACAGTGTCTCAGAGATGGGTATATAACTTTATAATTATATTATTGTTTGTTTAAGGTATACAGTGTCTCAGAGATGGGTATATAACTTTATAATCATATTATTGTTTGTTTAAGGTATACAGTGTCTCAGAGATGGGTATATAACTTTATAATTATATTATTGTTTGTTTAAGGTATACAGTGTCTCAGAGATGGGTATATAACTTTATAATCATATTATTGTTTGTTTAAGGTATACAGTGTCTCAGAGATGGGTATATAACTTTATGATTATATTATTGTTTGTTTAAGGTGTACAGTGTCTCAGAGATGGGTATATAACTTTATAATTATATTATTGTTTGTTTAAGGTGTACAGTGTCTCAGAGATGGGTATATAACTTTATAATTATATTATTGTTTGTTTAAGGTGTACAGTGTCTCAGAGATGGGTATATAACTTTATAATTATATTATTGTTTGTTTAAGGTATACAGTGCCTCAGAGATGGGTATATAACTTTATAATTATATTATTGTTTGTTTAAGGTGTACAGTGTCTCAGAGATGGGTATATAACTTTATAATCATATTATTGTTTGTTTAAGGTATACAGTGTCTCAGAGATGGGTATATAACTTTATAATTATATTATTGTTTGTTTAAGGTGTACAGTGTCTCAGAGATGGGTATATAACTTTATAATTATATTATTGTTTGTTTAAGGTGTACAGTGTCTCAGAGATGGGTATATAACTTTATAATTATATTATTTTTTGTTTAAGGTGTACAGTGTCTCAGAGATGGGTATATAACTTTATAATTATATTATTGTTTGTTTAAGGTATACAGTGTCTCAGAGATGGGTATATAACTTTATAATTATATTATTGTTTGTTTAAGGTATACAGTGTCTCAGAGATGGGTATATAACTTTATAATCATATTATTGTTTGTTTAAGGTATACAGTGTCTCAGAGATGGGTATATAACTTTATAATTATATTATTTTTTGTTTAAGGTGTACAGTGTCTCAGAGATGGGTATATGATAAAAGTGATTTTTTAAGTAAAGTTGCTGGTTTCCCCAAGTTTTTTCTGTGGTTGATAAGAAGAAATGTAAAAAGTGAACTATACGAGCAGGGAATGGGAAGACACTCCGAGGCTGAAGTCCTGCAGATAATGGAGGGGGATTTAAAAGCCATTTCTGATTTTCTGGGTTTGAATAATTCTTAAAAATTAAATTAATATTTAAACTTGTCTTCCTTCCCAGTCTAATTAAACTTAAATCAATCTTTCGTTTGTTTTTTTTAATTAGCTTTTATTTTTAATATAGCCACCTAACTGAAGAGGCCATAATAAAAGAAATATAATGTAAAATGGAAGGAAATGATTTAATTTTAATTAGACTGTCCTCCTTCTAGGCCATATTCTAATTGCAAATTCCCTTTTTTGTCGTTTGTTATTGAATGAGTTGTTTCAAATAATTAGACATCTTCACAATGTCAAAGTATCACAAACTTCATCTTCACAATGCCAAGCTACTACAACCTTCGTCGTATACCTCGACTGCAATAGCCACTTCCCAGTATCACGGAATGCATTGGATTGTACGCTACAGAATACACCCAATCACAGCCATCGACAGAAAGATGGAAACATCAATCAAAGCCTCGTATAAGCTGTACTATGTTACATACAATCCAATCAAATCGCAGAATAGTTGCTATTGCAGTCAAGGCATATGACAAAGTTCGTTATAGCTTGATATAGTGAAGATGCTGAATACATATTTCATGTTAATAAAAACTGTGTTATAAAAGTCAAAATTGAACGCAGGACTGATAGTATTAAAAACAACAATTATATTACTTAAAATAGTCACTGACAGTGTGATTTTCTTTCCGATCTTTAGGAACTAAGAAGTTTTTATTTGGAGATGAACCCTGCGAAACGGATTGTGCCATTTTTGGACAGTTGAGTCAGATTCGATGGCAATTAGTGGGTAGTAAGGGAGAGACTCTAGTCAATGGTAAGTTTTATCTTCTACTAACATGAACCCCACCCCACGTTACTCTATCAGTTTGTGGGTAGTAAGGGAGAGACTTTAGTCAATGTTAAGTTTTATCTTCCACTAACATGAACCCTACCCCACGTTACTCTATCAGTTAGTGGGTAGTAAGAGAGAGACTTTAGTCAATGGTAAGTTTTATCTTCTACTAACATGAACCCCACCCCACGTTACTCTATCAGTTAGTGGGTAGTAAGAGAGAGACTTTAGTCAATGGTAAGTTTTATCTTCTACTAACATGAACCCCACCCCACGTTACTCTATCAGTTAGTGGATAGTAAGGGAGAGACTTTAGTCAATGGTAAGTTTTATCTTCTACTAACATGAACCCCACCCCACGTTACTCTATCAGTTAGTGGGTAGTAAGAGAGAGACTTTAGTCAATGGTAGGTTTTATCTTCCACTAACATGAACCCCGCCCCACGTTACTCTATCAGTTAGTGGGTAGTAAGAGAGAGACTTTAGTCAATGGTAAGTTTTATCTTCCACTAACATGAACCCCACCCCACGTTACTCTATCAGTTAGTGGGTAGTAAGGGAGAGACTTTAGTCAATGGTAGGTTTTATCTTCTACTAACATGAACCCCACCCCACGTTACTCTATCAGTTAGTGGGTAGTAAGAGAGAGACTTTAGTCAATGGTAGGTTTTATCTTCTACTAACATGAACCCCACCCCACGTTACTCTATCAGTTAGTGGGTAGTAAGGGAGAGACTTTAGTCAATGGTAAGTTTTATCTTCCACTAACATGAACCCCACTCCACGTTACTCTATCAGTTAGTGGGTAGTAAGGGAGAGACTTTAGTCAATGGTAAGTTTTATCTTCTACTAACATGAACCTCACCCCACGTTACTCTATCAGTTAGTGGGTAGTAAGAGAGAGACTTTAGTCAATGGTAGGTTTTATATTCTACTAACATGAACCCCACCCCACGTTACTCTATCAGTTAGTGGGTAGTAAG